TCATCAAATGTTTGACATTTTACATCATGGAGTAATATGTTAAGTTTGAGTTTAAATTCATAGAATTAATCGAAAGACTGTGGCACGATACCCCCATTCTGGATTGTTTTACAGGGTTTTCTTGAGTTCTGTATTCCATTATTCTCTTTGCTCTGATATTCTGTCTCCCATCTTGCAATTTCATTCTTGGTAGGTTTAATGTCACTCTCTCCAGAAGCAACGAATGTCCTAGATATTTCTCTCTCTGCGTTGCTTTCATGCTCTATTTGAAATGTAGTTCATACATTCCCTCCCTTCTAGATCCCGTCTCTCGAAAAAGTGTGAAGTCAGCTCATAGCACCAGGAACAGATACTCTAGTCAGTGGACACTCACAAAATGCCAGAGCTCCACTCCTGCTCGGACTCTGACCTCCGACTGGAGAACAGTGGGGTCACAACATGGTATCACTGTAACGGAGAGCGACAGCTACAGTGCTAGTCTCTCTCAGGATACAGGTAGGTACAAACGCACCTTAGGGGCTTTTTAGCACTCTGCCAACCTCTGTAAACCTATAGTGTGTATATATAGCATAGTTATAGTACGGAATAGGTTACCTGTCTGTCCTCATTGTTTGTTATGTACAAATAGTTAGCATTCAGACACAAAATTGAATTCAGTTTTTCAAGTACCAGTTTTGGAAGAGGAATTAGGGCTGTAAGGTTTTAAGAGAGGGATGAAGGAACGTAGGACCTCCGATCCTCACAGCTACTTCAAACTGATCATGGATCTTCCTCCTCTTCACCCCCATCTTCCCCCCCAAAAATACAAACCTAGAAAGAATGAAATGAAAGGTCAAAAAAACGATGGCACCTTAAGAAAAAAAAACAGCAGAACACTTGTAGGGAGGTAATTGTCAACAAGCAAAATAACATAGAACACATAGAATGTCATTTATAACCCCAACATGTGGGGGGTTGTTTTTTTCTTTTGTTATTTATACATTGTTGTTTGTGCATGTGTGCTCCGAGCTGTACAGTGTATCTATATACACACAGATTACTTCTACCTGTTATGTAGAGAAAATATCTCCAACTTTGTATTCTACAGATAAAGGCCGGAACAGCATGGTATCAACGGAGAGCGCATCGTCCACCTACGAAGAGCTAGCCCGGGCTTACGAACATGCCAAGCTGGAAGAGCAGCTGCAACACGCCAAGTTTGAAATTACAGAGTGTTTTATATCAGACAGTTCATCAGATCAGATGACAACAGGAACCAATGAAAATGGAGATAGCATGACCTCCATGAGCACACCGTCTGAGCCGGGCATCTGCCGCTTTACCGCTTCCCCACCTAAACCACAGGACAGTGATCCAACCAAAAATGTGGCTGTGCCCATCCCCCATCGAGCTAAGAGTAAGTTCTGTCTACATATATATCCAGTTACACAAATCACACTGTATTCCTTGTGCATTATATGTGTTCATGCTTTTTGTATCAATCTGTACATATCTATATGTTTACATATTTTATGACTTTGTTGGCTTGACATTTATGACTTTTTAGTTCGCACTGGGCTTTCTGAGAAAATAGAATATGTTGGTATATATGTTAAGTAATTATATATAATGCTTTTTTTTTTTTAATGATAATTATTAGCATTCCATAATATTTTCTTTCTAATTTCAATGCAGGCGAATATTGCAATTTACCACTCTACATGAAGTCAGACCCCCACTTTCGTAAACCGGACCCCCATGACTCATGCCCTGTGGTGCCGCCTCGTGAAGCATCCATGCGCAATCTGGCTCGGAGTTACCACTCCCGCCACCTAACTCTAGAGCCAGGAGCCAAGCCTCCACCTGGCCTCTCACACCCGACTCCTTCTGGTGTGAGCTTACCTCAGCGGACTCTTATCATGGCTGGAGCATCAGCCTCTGCCCCTTCAGCTCCAGCAGCCACTGCACCGTCTGCCCCTGCTGACCCCACTGCCTCTGCTGGACCCGTTGAAAACCGCTTGCCTACCCAGCACAGCAAGATGGGGGGATCCCGGGACTCTCTGCTGGAAATGAGCAGCTCTGGAGCTGCTCGAGCACAGAAACAGGGAGCTGGAGCCTACTCCAAATCTTACACATTGGTCTGACGCCCACCCCCTTAAAACACTTCCCTCTAAAGACCCTCACAGACTGCAAAGACCCTTCTCCCTCCGCAGTGTCTTGGCTGTATTTCTATATTTTGAAAAACAATATAAAAGGAAAAAAAAAAAAAACACAATGGACGAATGGAGAATTTAAACAAAAAAAAAACTTGGTGATAAAAGACGCATTTTTGTATGAAAAAAAAATAGCTATTTTCAACTTCGAGATAAAAAAAAAAATAATAATAAAAATAAGAGAAATTGTTTTTATCTATGGATCTTTAAACAGCAACCTGCACGTTGCTTGGGTGTGTGAATGGTGAGCTGTGAGAATGAGTGCTAGAGGACATGACAGGAGATGATACAAATTAAAGAGACACAATAGTCACCAATACAACTTTAGCTTAATGAAGCGGTTTTGGTGTATAGATCATTTCCTTGCAGTCTCACTGCTCAATTATCTGCCAGTTAGGAGTTAAATCACTTTGTTTATGAACCCTAGTCACACCTCCTTGCATGTGACTTGCACAGTCTTCCAAAACACTTCCTGTAAAGAGAGATCTAATTTCTAAACTTCCTTTATTGCACAGTCTGTTTAATCTAGAATTTTTTATCTCCTGCTCTGTTAATAGCTTGGTAATAGCTTGCTTGCCCTTGCAGGAGCCTCAAGTATGTAATTAAAGTTCAATCTGCAGAGCACAAGTTAAAAACTTATAAAAATGAAAAATTATTTCCCGTCCCCCCCCCCCATTAAGGCTGTGTAGGTGTGTCTAGGGCTGCATAAACATAAACTAATGTAATTTAAATAAATTGCAGAGAATTGAACAGTGATACTTCAGATGCATGATATATATATATATATATATATACACACACACAAAAAACTGCTTTATTAAGCTAAAGTTGTTTTGGAGACTATAGTGTCCCTTTAATAAATAGAAGCGTAGGGGTGATCGCTTGGGGATATGCAAGTTTTGACATACATTGAATTAGATCTGGAGTGTGCAACTGGATGCAATAGAAGTGTTTTAATAATGTGGTAAAAATAGCTGCTTTAAAAAACTCCGCTAGAGTCGCAGTTTGACTATTTCAGCCTAAATGCTGCAATTTGGTTTTCAAAACACTGAAACTTTTTTGTCTAGTGAACGTTCTCTACGTGGTAATAAAAATGAAAGGTGAATTTAAAATGAAAGGTCGATCTAAAAATAAAACTTAGCTGACTTTGAGATTGTTTCCAATTTGGCTATTTTTGGCCTTGAATTTTAAATTCACTTTGCATTCCAGACAATTCCCACTTCGATAATTAACCTTGACCGTAGTTAGTGTGGAAATGGATTGTGGGTGTTTAGGAATTCCATATTTTTATGACATTTAGAGAGTGTGAAGCTGAAAAGATGGCCAAGAAGTCTGGAGCTATAGCTATAGGAATAATACCTAGAGTATCGTGAGTGTGGAGCAACGTGTGCAAACGAATGGGAAAATCTAAATATAAACAGGTGTTGATGGACTACAACTCTCAGAATTCTTTAATTTACAGATGACCAGACAATCGTGGAAGTTGTAGATCCACAACATCTGGTTTCCAGTGTTTTAAATGCCTGTTTTAGAACCTTCTTGGTAAAGTGACTGTATAAGTTTTAATAGTTTATTTTGAATTATCTTGTATTTTACCATGAAGAATACACTTATATTATTTTATATTTATTTTAGAACAGAACACTTTGTTTAATCTCCCCCAAATGTTCTTTTGTGTCCTTAGGTTACTAGTACAATGTTCTACTGTGTACAGCCAAACTACGTATCTAAATGCTAGTAAGTATACTAACCCCAGTTAGAATTGGTCTAAAGTACGTCATAAATGGTACTCCGTAATGTAATCATTTAGGGTAAAAATGAAACCGTTTAGTGGAAAACTGAAACATTAAATTTCTTGTTACAAATAATCAGAGCCAATTTGAAAGAGAGATGAGATAAGTAAGAAAATAATTCATATGAGAGGTTCTGAGAGGTCAGACTTTATATACAGTGAATTGGACCATCATTAAGGTTTACATATAAATCAAGCACAAATGCACACGTACGGCAAACCATGTCACTACTTCTGTATAATACAAGTGACTCACCTGGTAAGTATTCCACTGCTTGCAAAATTTGTTTTTAAAATTATGGATTAGTTGAAATGAATTCTTATAAACCATATATTTTCCGATGAAGTGTTAACTCCTGGGTGTTGGGAGCCATGGAATGCTACAGTTTCCTACCTCTATCCAATGATGTGATGGGGAGAGATCTAGCATATTGTTAGGACAATGGAACTGGCATATATATATATATTTAGATATATATTACGCAAGATCCAGCACACTCACCTATCCACTAAACAGCAACTTCAATGTTGAAAGATTGTACTTGTTTTTTTGTTTTTTTTTAAAAACACCTAATCTAGGCAAAAATAATGGGGGTTTAGTTACATTATATGATCATACATTGCATAAGCCTGCCACAACGTCAATGTAACCCATCTTTGGCAGGTCCTATTCTAACAGCCTAATGTCTGCTCTTATGAGATTAACCTACTTGGGGAAATAAATTCCATCTGGGGATCTCTGCAGTACAAGGCTAAATAGGGCCCTGGGATGAGGCACCTGTGACAGGGAGGGGTGCAAAACCAAGGAGTTGGCTAGACTCCCAAATATATATATATATGAAACAAGAGGGGGTTGGCTGCACTCACCTGAACATGCATAAATGGGGGTGCTGCTGGGGGCCAAATAATACAATACACAAGATCCAGCGCACTCACCTATCCACTAAACAGCAACTTCAATGTTGAAAGATTTTTTAGATATATATATCAAAAAATTACCGGCACTCTTGGGTTTAGTTCATCCAATTTATTGTTGGTCAATTCAAACAAAGTCAACGTTTCAGCTCCCGATCGGAGCTTTCATCAGGACACAAAAGGCATTTAACATTGCAATTAAATAATTAAAGACAGGTGCTACATCTCCCTGCTCAAAGTAGATTGCTAACAGTGTCTCTCTTTCCTATTCCCTTGGCATTTTGTGCCAAATTCATCCCCAATTACACTGCCAAGGATGTGTCCAGGTTCAGAAGCATTCATTTCTTGGTCTACCAGTTGATGGGGAAGTGTAACTACTCCCTCCTCTCTGCTGTTTTTTTTGTTTTGTTTTGTTTTTTAAGGGTTTCGGGTTACCTCGCATGCTATTTTATTTTACAGGCAGGTGGACTAACATTTTAGAATCTGGCCCTTTAATGACACATTTTAGATCAGTTTGGTCCTTGTTGAAATTATTTCTCCATCGCCCATTCTCTCCCATGTCAGTAACTCCATCCATTCAACACCAACTCTCCTCCATACCAATAGTTTCATCAATTCAACACCAACTCTCTTCCATACAATAGCTTCAATCCATTCAACACCAACTCTCTTCCATACCAATAGCTTCAATCCATTCAACACCAACTCTCTTCCATACCAATAGCTTCATCCATTCAACACCAACTCTCTTCCATACCAATAGCTTCATCCATTCAACACCAACTCTCTTCCATACAATAGCTTCAATCCATTCAATGCCCATTCCACTAGCTCCATCCAATAATCACCCATTCTTTCCCATACCAATAGCCCTATCCATTAAACTGATAGCTCCATCCATTCAACACCAACTCTCTCCCATACCAATAGCTTCATCCATTCAATGCCCATTCTCTCCCATACTGATAGCTCCATCCATTCAACACCAACTCTCTCCCATACCAATAGCTTCATCCATTCAACACCAACTCTCTTCCATACCAGTAGCTCTATCCATTAATCTCTCATACCAGTAGCTCTATCCAATAATCACCCATTCTCTCCTATACTGATATAGCTTCATCCATTCAACACCAACTCTCTCACATACAATAGCTTCAATCCATTAATTACCCATTCTCTCCCATACTGATAGCTCCATCCATTCAACACCAACTCTCTTCCATACAATAGATTCAATCCATTCAATGCCCATTCTCTCCCATACCAATAGCTTCATCCATTCAACACCAACTCTCTTCCACACAATAGCTTCAATCCATTCAATGCCCATTCTCTCCCATACCACTAGCTCCATCCAATAATCACCCATTCTCTCCCATGCCAATAGCCCTATCCATTAATCTCTCATACCAGTAGCTCTATCCAATCACCCATTCTCTCCCATACCAATAGCTTCATCCATTCAACACCAACTCTCTCACATACAATAGCTTCAATCCATTAATCACCCATTCTCTCCCATACTGATAGCTCCATCCATTCAACACCAACTCTCTCACATACAATAGCTTCAATCCATTAATTACCCATTCTCTCCCATACTGATAGCTCCATCCATTCAACACCAACTCTCTTCCATACAATAGATTCAATCCATTCAATGCCCATTCTCTCCCATACCAATAGCTTCATCCATTCAACACCAACTCTCTTCCACACAATAGCTTCAATCCATTCAATGCCCATTCTCTCCCATACCACTAGCTCCATCCAATAATCACCCATTCTCTCCCATGCCAATAGCCCTATCCATTAATCTCTCATACCAGTAGCTCTATCCAATAATCACCCATTCTCTCCCATACCAATAGCTTCATCCATTCAACACCAACTCTCTCACATACAATAGCTTCAATCCATTAAATACCCATTCTCTCCCATACTGATAGCTCCATCCATTCAACACCAACTCTCTTCCATACAATAGCTTCAATCCATTCAATGCCCATTCTCTCCCATACCAGTAGCTCTATCCATTAATCTCTCATACCAGTAGCTCTATCCAATAATCACCCATTCTCTCCCATACCAATAGCTTCATCCATTCAACACCAACTCTCTCACATACAATAGCTTCAATCCATTAAATACCCATTCTCTCCCATACTGATAGCTCCATCCATTCAACACCAACTCTCTTCCATACAATAGCTTCAATCCATTCAATGCCCATTCTCTCCCATACCAGTAGCTCTATCCATTAATCTCTCATACCAGTAGCTCTATCCAATAATCACCCATTCTCTCCCATACCAATAGCTTCATCCATTCAACACCAACTCTCTCACATACAATAGCTTCAATCCATTAATCACCCATTCTCTCCCATACTGATAGCTCCATCCATTCAACACCAACTCTCTCACATACAATAGCTTCAATCCATTAAATACCCATTCTCTCCCATACTGATAGCTCCATCCATTCAACACCAACTCTCTTCCATACAATAGCTTCAATCCATTCAATGCCCATTCTCTCCCATACCAGTAGCTCTATCCATTAATCTCCCATTCTCTTCCATATCACTAGCTCTAGCACTAGGCCTGTATTGATACTATGGTGTAAAGCTGTTTCCGTGGATAATTGCAAACCACACAACATACACACAATAAATGACATAAAGTGTCAAGCACACAGACAGACAGACACACCACACAATGTATATCCGATACAATTTATTAAGTCACCATACACATTAAAGGAAGTTACCAGCAAGCAAAATAATGTTTCTTAGTTGAGATACACATATCAAGGAGGTATCTGTATGTAGACATGAAAATAGTAGGTATACATGGTGCTGGTGTTCAATAGGAAAGCTAGGCAAGGCCATATACAGGTAAACAGAATACAAACACCTGTCTAGTAGTATATACGATTAGCATGCTGGTGTGATATGATAAAAGCTGTAATACGTAGTAATATTATCCAATTAGACAGGAATTCATTAGCTTCCATGTACTCCTGGGGTCTAGATGCTATTATCAAACTTGTGACATTTATATATAAATAAGTACATAATAGTACTTGCATGCCAGCATACTACCCAATGGGCAGTGTGGGCATTTGCCCCAGAACTTACCAGCAAAAGGCTCACACTACATTAAAACTTGTTTTGCAGATGGTGGAGAGAGAAATGGTCTGAGACCAGCCAGAAGCAGACAACTTGGATAGGTTTTATTTCATTCATTTATCAATAGTTCATTAATCTTTAGATCCAATAATTTCTAAATATAGGTGGTATTAAAGAGGGGCCCACTAGAAATAGCTATGTCCATTGCCCACCTTTGTCTGTAATTGGCCCTGGCATTAGTAGGGTGAGGAGATCACTCAATGGTCAATACATGGTGGCCTAGGCTTGGTGCTGTTTATGTTGCTGATATTTGCGGTAATGAGTTTGGATGGTTAGCGCGGCACGTTCTGTTGCATCCTGTGTCGAATAGTCTTTTTGTGCCCTCCTCAGACCTGCGGGGGCAAATAAATAATAATTATATACAATTCAGCGTGTTTACGCGTCCTCCAGTCCAGCTATTAATAGCAAGTACTGTGCTAAGATGGAAGGATTTATATAGATCTGCCACAAATCGGATTATAGCACAAACGTGTGGGACGTTTAGAGAGGAGCAGATTTTACGTGTGTGTATTTCCAATGCAGTATGTCTCTGAAATGGCATCACAGATGAACAAACTTTGATTTTTTATGGATAAGTCCACAGAAGGTTGGTATGTTGCCACTCTAATTGACATCATTAAATTAAAGAGAGCAGCTGGTGCTGAGCACTTTGCCAGCACCATACATTGCGCTACCAATATTAATAAGGATCAATTTAATTTGTTCTCGATAAGTAAACCATACAAATAACACAAGATGTTGTGTATGACTGTGTACAAGGAATTGGCATGATGATATGTGATACATTGCAATGTAGGTGGAGAAGACACATTCTACATCCTTATGCTTGTGTAATGGAAAAACATTTTATAATACAGTATTTATCTAGCACAGATAATATATTAAAATAATATCATATATGACTGTCGCATTGTTTCATCATATAACCAACATAAGCCGTTTAATGCACAATTAAGGATACACCATCAATGTTGATTATCTTGACCACAACATCAGATTTATAATAAGGCAGGAAATATATATACACAAACAATGTTTCTCAAACTGAGATCTCTAGAAAATTCACTAGGGAATTGCAAATTGTAAAACTAAAAAGAAAATTCACTAGGGAATTGCAAAACTATAGTCACCCAGACAACTTCAGCTCAATGAAGTGGTCTGGGTGCCAGGTCCCTGTAGGGTTAGCCCTGCCTGCTTTAAACATAGCAGTTTCAGAGAAACTGCTAAGTTTACATTTGAGGTTAAGCCAGCCTCTAGTGCCTGTCTTCTGGACAGCCACTAGAGGCATATTATGTCTCCATCCCGCAGAGCATCCATAGGAAAGCATTGAGAAATGCTTTCCTATGGACACTTTGAATGCGTGCGCGGCACTGCCGCGCATGCGCATTCCGCTCCGCTAACTTCAGATGGGGGAGCTGACATCGGCGGGGGAGGAGAGGTAAGAAAGCCTGGCGGTGGAATAAGGGGAGTAACTGAAGAGGTTTTAACCCCTTCTGCGCCATGGGAGGGGGACCCTGAGGGTGGAGGCACCCTTAGGGTACTATAGTGTCAGGAAAACTGATTTGTTTTTCTGACACTTTAGTGATCCTTTAACTGTTGATGCAAAAATTTGGTAGTAGGCATGTCTACAGGGGTGCTATCGTGGCGCTTCTAAAATTCAATAAGGCAATGAACATCAATTGACCAAGCAACAACTCCAAAGTAAATCTTCGTAATGTCTCTTTTAATAGGTCTATGTCAGGAAATGAAAACAAATGTCTGTCTGTAATTTGTTTTAATAGACTTTGTTAATCTAGTGATGACCAGTTTATGTAGAAATTCAGGCAATTCTAAAAGGTTCACGCACATTTCCTAGACACTGTATACATACAAAAGGTACATTTAAAGAAACACTATAGGCACCAGAACAACTACAGCTTAATGTAGTTGTTCTGGTGAGTATAATCAGCCCTTTCAGCCATTTTCATGCAGACACTGCCATTTAAGAGGGCAGTGTTTATATTGCCCTTAAGGAAACCTCCAAGGGGCCACTCCTCAGATGGCCACTGGAGGTGCTTCCTGGCTCAGTGCTGCACGACAGGCAGCAGTGCCGTTCAGCGTCTCCACGCTCTGCATGGGGATGCTGAATTTTCCTCATAGAGATGCATTGATTCAATGCATCTCTATGAGGAGGTGCTGATTGGCCAAAACAGCGTTTGACCCCGCCATCTTCCCAGTTTTAGCCAATCCAATTCTTTCCCTATGGGAAAGAATTGGATTGGCTAAAAATCCTAATTTTAATTATGTCACCAATGGGGCAAGGGCAGGGCAGGGCCAGTGCCGGCGGACCCGCATGGCGCTGGAAATAAGGTGAGTTTTATTAACTTTTAAGGGGAGTCACCCAGACCATTTCAGCTCAATGAAGTGGTCTGGGTGCCAGGTCCCCCAAGTTTTAACCCTTCAGATGTAAACATAGCAGTTTCAGAGAAACTACTATGTTTACATTGCAGGGTTAATCCAGCCTCTAGTGGCTGTCTTCCTGAGAGCCGCTAGAGGCGCTTCTGCGACGCTGGATGTGAAAATTGCATTTAGCGTGCAAAACGTCCATAGGAAAGCATTGAGCACTGACGTCGGAGTGGGAGGAGAGGTCACCAGCACCTGGCTCCCTGGCGCTGGATTAAAATAAGTAGCTGAAGGGGTTTTAACCCCTTCATAGAAGGGGGCTCTGAGGGAGGGGGAAACCTAAGGGTTATATTGTGCCAGGAAAACAAATTTGTTTTCCTGACGCTATAGTGATCCTTTACAATTATGCACGGCCTTATCAGTTAAGTGGTGCTTCCGACTACATGTGGCTTAAAGGTAAGCATATCCACCTAGCAAGGGTAAACAGGCAAATTCACCAGGAAAGAAAAGTTATAAACGTTATAAGTGTGTATTACAAAATAATACACATCAAGGTTATATTACATGTAGCGTTTTATTTTCATTAATCAAAAACAGACAATTTTCCTTTAATGAACATGGGATACAAATTAAACGCCTTATGAAGAAACAATGGCTAGTTTTGATCAGTCGCTGGGATTTCTAACATTTCATTGTCCAAGCAAGACGTACAGGAGTCTCCCTGAGCGATGTAACTCTTATCACTGCTCTCTATATACTTGTGTAAACCGCTCCAGAAAATATTCCCTACTGAGAACAAGATGACTATATGTTGCAATGTATGTAGCTAGCCCTTTACCTTTTTACTTCTTTTCAATACATTTTTTAGAACCTGTCCTGACAGTCACTGACAATATACAAGCACGCACATTACAAACAGACACAACACTTACCATACTTGTCTCTGGCCGGGTATGTTGTGCAGGTGTATTGGTGACTTCCCCTTCTCTAAGAACAGATAAAGAAACGGACTTTAATATGGAGAACAAAGAGATGTGAGAAGCAGAGGTAATGGGAGTAAATTAGTCAACAAACAGTAACGAAACAAGGGAAAGGTGATCCTCATGAATAAAAGTATCTTGGGCCTTACTACTTGTTCCATAGCCTCCATCCACCACACCAGGTTTTGGTGGTGCACGATAGACCATGTTATGGTTATGGGAGACAGCATCGGTCAGCTCTTTGCCATTAGCTTTATGTGCTCTTGCTAAGATGGTGATTGTCAGAATATGACATCATGCCATAGTACAATCAGTGTTTAGAAGATAAAACAGCAAAGTAGAATGGAAATAAATCTGTACCTCCAACGTCAGAGATCTTTTTTTTTTTTTACTTCTTTGCGGTTTTATCTTGTAAATGTGACACTGGAGATACAGATCTCATGATTCCATCCCAAGACGTTCTGAGGAAGAGTGGAGAAGGTGGTGGCAGAGAGTTGGTTTTAGGGTCTATGTCACAGCTTTGCCATCTGCAGCTCATAGAAAAAGGACCAAGTGAAAGAACAACGAAGATATGTCGATAACTAGAGCTATCATTCCTGGATCTCTGGGTGTTATCATTTTTGCATCCCATTTTCTTTTTGGTTTGGATTTTAATATTGTAGGGACTGTCAGAACCCCAGTGGTGATCCAGCACCGGTTCCTGGAAATCTGCAATCACACCCAGTTAATGGGAGTTGTTTTACCCCTTGAAGCTCCCAGTTGATTTCTTGTTATTTGATAGAAAATAGGAGCACAGTATGGGACTGTGCAACATATTGGACTGGTCACCTGTGGTAAAAGAGCACGGTATAGGAATGGTCACTATATGGGACTGGCTATCTGGGATAATGGAGGACGTTATGGGAATGGTCACTATATGGGACTGGCTATCTTGGATAAAGGAGAACCGTATAGGAATGGTCACTATATGGGACTGGCTATCTGTGATAATGGAGGACGGTATGGGAATGGTCACTATATGGGACTGGATATCTGTGATAAAGGAGCACGGTATAGGAATGGTCACCCATGACCAGGAGCATTATATGGGACTGGCCACCTGTCATAAAGGAGCACTGTATAGAAATTGTCACAAATGACCAGTAGCACCTACTGTAACAATGTAGTTAAAATCTCCTTTGTACCATTTACCAAGAAAGCAGTGGTAAAGACCTGAATTTTTTGGGCATTTACTAACTCTGCACCCCCATCATCTCCTTCGTCAGACTAGTGGAAGCATTATATCCTGTGCTGATGCCACCAGGACTGTATTTGTCACACTTCTCTGTGACAAATGTTGAAAACTGGATGCTTCACAAACTTTAAATATATGTTAATATATATATTAAAGCAATTGACATCACAATCCAGTTCCGTCCTGGCACAGCCAAGGCACACATTGCATTTGATGAGGAGCAATAGAAACGCTATTTCTGTTTCTTCACTTCTACGCACTGTGTTCAGTTAAAGAAAAGGGCAGAGTTTGTAACAATCATTGACAGGAAGCTAAGACAGATGTTGGTGGATTTCTACATTTAATTTAGTTTTTCAGACATTACAAACACACATTTGTTAAAAAAAAGGGGATAAATAAACATGATACTAAAAATCCGGGAAGGTGGCCGTTCCCCTTTAAGGGATGTATCTGGTGACTTTATATATTCATGCCACTTGTAGTGATAATGTTACACTGGCCGCACTGCATTTGTACCTCTTGGTCCCGGCTTGCTCGTCTGTTTTGTGTCACGTACTGCACGTGCCAAGGGAGAGGCTGGTACGCTAGGTATGGCGTGTGCTCTTCCCGAAAAAATAAAGAACTGCCAAACTGTCAAAAGACAAAGAAATACATTGTGTGTCATGTTAGTGACTGGACAAACGTCCCATGGGTCTGTGTTTGCTAAACAAAACATTGTTTGTTTTTACCTCTAAAACCCAAACACAAGAATTGTTTCAGGTGGTATTTAAAAGGTTTAATACAGATAGTGGACATTGATTGTATATCTCGGCTATATCGGCTAGCAAATATACAGGTACCATGTAATAAATAGTGACACTGTGTAATTCTTGCAATGGTGGGTACATTTAATATAATGCAGACTCCCACAGACCCTAAATAACCTACTTTGGGAGTAATTCAGTAGACAAGGTAAAAAGCAAAGGAATTGTCCAAACATGACTAATCTAATTCTATGACACAGATAAAGTGTATCCTGCATCATAGATAGAAATTGTTCATTTAGGGCAGCCCTTTTCATGTGCCTATGAATGTTCTCCGTGATCAGTTTGATCATGTTCAATAGGATGGTGGGATTTCTGATGTTGGTCACTAGGTATTGATCAAACTGAACACCACCAGGTAGAGAAGGGAGTGAGGGGTACGGTGAGCCATCTCAGGGGTGTGTTTATTAATGCCCAAACTGCAGGATGTTAAAATCTAAAGTGCAAAATAGAGGCTAAAAAAGCCAAGCTGGACTTTTGTTTCCAAATCAGATATTTTATGTACCTAGATCCTATGGATTGAATAAGATTATGAACCTGTTTTGTACGTTTACTGCAGGTGGATTGATTTTCTTGGGGATTAAGTAAGACTCGTTGGCTAACAGAAGATAAACATACAAACAGGTAAATAGCAGTAGTATCTCACTTTTACATAGAAACAATAAGCACCCTCATACACACCCAATAACAAAGAACTTTACAACCATTTCAAGTACAATAGGATCATAAACAGGGTTCAATAGCTCCAGGCAAAATAGGCCAAGAGCAGATAGTCCAAGTGGTCAGCACCAAATGAAGTCATCCTTGGGGTTCAAACATTATTACTTTATTTAATTAATATCTGATAATAAAGACCCATGATGAGATCCGGCATCCCCTGCGGAGATTTTCTGGTATTCTCTCCTTTATCAAAGAAGGAATTCTCCAGTTGTGAATGGGACACAGATCCCCCCACCCCCCAAACCATTTGCACTTTCAAACCTACTCCATGGGTAATATTTTCCTTTTCCTACAGTCCCATCACAATCTGCCTGTTCCTTACACTTGACTAAGTACACAGCTAGAGGAAGAATGCTCTGAAAAATCATTGCTACTACACAGTATGTTAAGGATAAAATGACAGTGACGTTACTGGGGAATGTCCTATTTAATAACAAGAGACATACACTTGCATCATACAATAGAATGTGAAACCTATAGATATTTGCATAGCAATGGATAAGATATATGGGACATATCATATCTTATGCTATACAGCAAAAGTGATTTTCTATAACACTAGACATGATAAAGGCAAACACTTCTAATATGCAAAAACAATTATTATCCAGTGACATTAACATTAAAGAGAAGTAAATAAACAAGGATAAACAATTCCAAAAGAAGGCTTTACGAATGTGAATGACGAATGACTGTAAATTAGGTTAAAGCCTCCAATAAAAATGTTAATATGTGGTCCACGGGCACTTACCTTGCCAACCACACGTACAACGAAGATCAGAGCGGTCATAAGTGAAGCAAGCATGATGTTGGAGAGAAAAAAAAAAAAGATGGAATCTGTAGAATCCCACCGGTATCCTTCCCTCTCTCTTCCTCTACACAGTAAGAAGTTTAAATCTGTTAATAAGATTAGCATTCTGAAAATCACCCACCTTCTGTCCTTAGACGATAATCCTCCTACTTCACCAGGAAACTACAGAGTCACTTTACAATGTGACGGGCTGATTTTATAGGTAGAGAAGGCCAAGACAGATGAGTGGTTAGAGAAAGCCAAAATGAAAATAAAGACGGCGGCAACAAGTAAAATTCAAACACTTTATTGCATCAAATTGTTAAAACGTCCTCAGTATTCTTCTCCTTAGTGGATCTCTCGTGTGTGGAGTCTCCAGACCTCTCAGTCTGCTGCCGGCTGCGGAACTATAGGCTTATCGACATCAAAACACGATCACTTCCTTGAGGCGGGGATTACGTCCAAACCACGTGACAACGTGACTTGGCGTATGCGTGATGACGCGTTTCGCCAATCGGCTTCCTCGGTGAACTGAGAAGAATACTGGGGAAGTTTTAACTATTTGATCCAATAAAGTGTTTGAATTTTACCGGTTGCTGGCATCCTTTCCTGCATCGTTTATCCACAAAGGGATCTACTCAAGCTGACCAGTCAGAGCAGGCTCATCTGCTCTGTGTTTGTGAGTGTTCAATTATAGTATCTCAACATTCACTCAGTTTATATACAGATTGGCACTATGTATCTTTCCTTTTGTATTTTCTTAAGCTTTAGTGGAAGATACCCATGTACTTACAGTCTCATACTTCATACTGATTGTAAGTGTTCCATTCATTTTTTTTTCACCATAAGGATTTTTGGAAGAGGCATTGCACAATATTGATTTGAGACCACAATAGAATTTGCACTAGATCACTTTAGTGCTTTAGATACACTTTGATGGTTTTGAATTAAATAAGTGTATTTTCACTATTTGATATTTTGAGTCTTCAAGACATAACGCACCTGTTTTTGTTTTTTATAGTGTAGCTATTTAGGAAATATGTTTTAAGTTCTTATCCTATGCATGAAAATTAATTAATGGTGGTTTTCAGGTGGATTATTGTACAGCCTTCGTGGTCTTTTGCTTCAACCCAGCAGTGCATTAAAATCTAGTATATAAAAAGAATATTCATTTAATTTTCACCTTCAGTCAGACTTACGTCTCAACGTTATATACAGTTTTATCCCTCTTAGTATTTCATTGGTAGAATCACCGTAAACCTGTCATTACAATGTAGCCTTCAGTGGTAGGTGCAACACTATTGGTATGCTCTCATCTTCTACTGGGACATCTCTCAGGAAGGTTCCAGCATATTTCTTTTGAATGAAGATCCTCTTGGTCCAGTAGAGTAGACTCAAAATTCCTTATTTGAGCCTTATAAGTGACACTAGATCAGGGGTAGGCAACCTTTGGCACTCCAGATGTTGTGGACTATATCTTCCCTGACACTTTGCCAGCATTATGGGATATGTAGTTCACAACATCCGGAGGCCTGCCCCTGCACTAGGCAGTCATGAGACTAGTCATCCAGACTAAGGATATATTAGAATTTATGGCTCTTTAGAGGGGTTACTCCATGCATTGTTTTGAACACCTTTTTAAAACAATGATGTGACACTCTTGGCTCATCATATTTGATAAGATTGACAGTGGGTTGCTGATCCTAGCTGTATCAGTCTCCTCTTTGTGTTATCTCTATTTCTTTTGGTCAATCTGTTTGATGAACACCAGACAAATGTCATGTACAATATTTCCAGTGCATTCTATGCCAAGAAACGAAAGGCTTGGGAAGAGATCGGTTATTACTGGCAATAGCTGCTGACCAAAAACATGGTCAAGGATCTATCCAGAAATGTATCTTAAGAATAGACGAATCCAGTATCACCATGCTGTACTGCACAATGTACCAGACTATCGCTGGCTTTATTGGATGGTGTCATTTGGTGTCACAATATTTTGTGTATGTGCAAAAGAAAATATACCTGTACTCTACTCTCGTGAGAAGACCCTCAAAATCTGCACTGCAAGGCTTCTGTGGATGCGGCTTTATATATTGGATCCATTACACTTAGGGCAATGTGGCATATAAAGATGGTCCATATGGGTGTTTTCCTAGACCTGTGGTCTATATCCTCCTTCGCTGGGTCTGTTAGAACAACTATTTCTTCCCCAACCACTGGCTTTATAGGATTATTGAATTTCCTCTTTCACAGATTTATGACATCCTATCATCCTATTTTTGAATCTGGAATCACAGTTCACCTGATTTAAAATATATTTATTACCATGTTCACAGTACACGAAGTAAACGTGTTAGTTTCCAAACTGCTAAAATAAATTTGAGAAGGCGGTAGTTTCTCATATTAAGCATCATTGAACGTGGATACAGCACATGGATTTAATCTGAATACAAAATACAGTGAAATCCTTCAAACAAATTTAAACACAAATATTTAAAACAAAGTGCTGAAATGTAATAAAACTTGTGGTAGAAAACTTGAAAGAGAAATAAATAAAACAGACATTGCACAATGTATTTGTAACACGTGGAAGGAGATCCTGCTAAGGCAAAAGTTGAAATGTAATAAGGTAATTACTAAGAGGTAATAAATAGGAATTTGATTAAACAGTTTTATTACATAAAAGTTTTTTAAAGCTAGAAGGGTTTTGCAGTGCAAATTTTTATCTCCAAAGGAGCATCACTTTTTGAATTTTTTTTTTCCATAATGCTGCATACATAATATAAAATAATAGAACTGGATGCATTGCTTACTGGAGAGCAATCTCTCCCTCATATTAGAGCTAGCTCTGAATTCTGGTGAATTTAAGTCAGAACTGGCAAAATTAATAGAATTTGTTTTTACTTTATCACTCAGCCAATTCTGGTCCTTTCACGGTCCACCACAAGGTGAAGACAGACAAAGCGAGTCATTAGGTGGTCATGAATTGGAGAGAGGGCTCATCCAACTTCCACCCAGCCGGCACGCAGACAGACAGACGGTCTTAAATGTTGACAGCAGAAACTGAACTGACACAAATGATGAAGCAGAAAATCGGAACAAGGAAACCGGTAGAAACACTGACTCCAGAATACAGGAATGTTTATACTGGAACAGCTAAGGAGGAACTAGAAGCACTGGAACTCCAAGGGAGGAACCATGAACAGAACGGCCTATACCTGGATGAACCCAATAACTGCCTAAGGTACCATTGGGCGCATAGTGTATAAATAGACCTGTGGATGCAATAGTAAAGGCTAAGTACAAACTTATAGACTATGCTTTACAATTCCTGCATAGAGAGGTGCAGGCCTGCTAATAGTCGGAGAGAGCAAGGCAGAGAAAGCTATACGGCCTGGGTCAGACTTGGAAACAATGAATGAAGTTACAGTACAAGTTAAGAGAAGGCACCATTTATCAGGAAGACATGAAAACCATGTACGTGTGTGTCAGAAAGTGGTCACATGTCTGCAGAGCAGCATTTTACCTTTGGAATGTTCCCAACTTGGATGTTTGATTAGGGCTGCTTGAACCACCACATTTTCCTGGTCACACGTCCCCTATATACAATGATCGGTGGTACTAGAAATGTATTGCCGTGCAGTACACAGAATTCATATTCTGCAGTTTTTCTCAATTATTAATGATTTTAATGGTTTTCCACCTGACCCATGTCTCAAGTGCCGCCCAATAATGGTGGATCTGACGGCCGTATATGAGATAAAGATCAGAATCGAGGAAAAGGGAAAGATTTTTATTTGCATAAAACCAGGAATCTAGCTTTATGGCTTCACGCAAAATAACTAGGATTAGTGCATTTTGCCAGGTACATTCATCAATCTACGGCCTGGAAGAGTACACTCACTTAGTAATCCAAATTAAAAAAATTATAGAAAAATATCAAACTATACTAAATTCCCAACTAGTATGGCCTAAATGTAGCAAATATATTTTTTAATTTACAATTATGGGCACACCCGGAAGTAGTAGTGCTGCCGTAAAGGCCAAAATAAATACAAAATACAGATCAGGGAACAGCACTCAAAAAAAAAAAAAAAAATACTTATAATCACATGTCTAGGCAAATAAATATGGGGATTCAGTTACACCATATGGCAGTATTGCGTTAAGCCCACCGCTACATCAAAGTACCCCAATATTGGTGGGTCCTACTCTAAATTTAACATAGGAGAGTAGCAGGTTAACTGCATTATTGGGGTATTGCTGTGGGCTTAACACAAAATGGCCATTTGGCGTAACCAAATCCCCATGTTTGTTTGATTAGAAAGGTGATTATACCTACCCTTGTAAAATCTGTGCGTGCTGCTCCCCAATCTGTATTTGGTATATAAAATCTAGGGCTGTAGGCTGCTGTTTGAGTATTAGGTTCTATGTCACTGCTTGCTAATACGCATGTGCGACTCTTCAGACACACGTACGTTTCATGTCCGCATTACCGCAGTCCGTCTATTGTATGTGTACATGTGAGAGTATTAACCAATAATTACTCTGTTATTACTCATTTTTTTTTTTTAGATAATGAGTAATTATATAGAATGTAATATAGTCTGATAATTTCTCCCTGAATCCCTATATTAAAAAAAAAAAAAAATAAAGTATAAATATATACAATCTGTATAAATATATGCAAATACCTGCTCTGGTTATTACTAGCTTTAGGCAGGCAGTAAATACAAAGCTTAGAAACGTATACACAGATTTGGTTATTCATTCAGCAATTTTAAAATGTTTAGTATCCGTGGCCAGACTTGTGTAACAGCAGTTACTGCAAGTGGCTAATCTGCTACAGCCAACCAGAGAACCCCAAAGGAAACCGAGAAAACAGTGAAGAGCGGTTACAGATGTTTGGAGTTTTTAATTCCCCAGTCTTCATTCCTGTCTGAGGGATAGGTAAGCAGCATGTATAAGGGCCGAGTATCTCTTCAGTTTGCTCCTGAGCTAGTAATGGAATACTTTGATCTGATTATTCTCATCCAGGCCAAGTTGTAATGGTCCAGTCCCCAATGGCTTTCTGTTTGCTCGGG